TGCCTGGGCCATGTCGACGCAACAACGGTAGAACAACATGGCCGATGATCTCGTCGCGGTAGCGCTGTCCATTGCGATTTCCCTCTACCACTATCAATGGGTCCTCTGTCTTGCTGTAATCCCACCCCATACCACCCTCTGCCGCCCCCGAACCGATCTTCTTCCATGACACAATGATTGACATAACGTTCACCTCGACGTCGGTACACTAGAATCCGTCCATCTCTGTGGCTGAGGTGAAAACGAGACTCGTCAGTGGATAGAACTTGTCCTCACTGCATGGCCGTCCAGCGAAGACGCTGTCTGCACCACTGTAGACGTCCTTGACGGTGATTTCCTGTCAAAATGGGACGTCTGGTGGGTCTTCTGGCGACAATCCCTGCATATCTGAGGCGACGACGTGCGGTTTGTGAGGATATTTGTCGAAGGCCAGGGATGCTTCTTACAGTCTCTGTTGCTGACTGGAATCGATTTCGTAGGTGTTTTGTTCGAATCCAGTAGTCTTGTCGACTATTGGTTACGCGTGGCCTGTCACTCCGAGGATGGTCTCTGACTGCATTCGTCTGTTGCCAACGTTGTCATAAACACCAAATGGTGTTTCCGTGGACGTTAAATTGTCTTGCAACATCACTTTGACTCGATCCTGCTTCAAGCATACCAATGGCTCGTAGACTCTCATTTTCGGACAGGCGTGGCAATTCGTAATGTTGAATAATTGCGTAATTTTTTGTTTTTCTGAGTCGTTGTTGTCAGCACGGGGCTAAACAATGCATATGGAATCCGTTAACGCACATGTTTTTATACCCATTCTTGGGTTGTGAAATGCATGGGGCTTGCATAAAAGTCAACTTTTGCATGGTATGCGTGCTTTTCTGTAGCAATTGCGTTTTTGTGACTTGATTCCATACGTGTACTACACTATTGAAACTTTTGTTGTTGAGTACAGAATGTTCAGTTCAGTGTGGCAAAAACAAGACAATGTATGTTGTGAACAACCTCAAGCAGACGTAAGTGTATGGTGCGTTAAGTTAAATATGTGTGTATATTTTGAGTGCCAGTTTGTGTCATTTTATGAACCAGGTTCGATTATGCTGACGCTTGGTAATTACGTACAGTGTATGCAAGTAGGTTACATATAGTTATTACAACTTCGGAAACTTCGGAATCTCCCCATATGATTTTCCGCGTTGGGATAAGCCATTGGAGTGGTTTCGTCCCATCTTATCTCCCTTACACTGAACATTTGATTTCATAAAAAAACATGAAAATATGAAAACACACACACGCACGCACGCACGCACGCACGCATACACACACACACACACAGACAGACAGACACACAGACACACACACACACAAATGTTTGACTTTAAGGTGAATATATATGAATATATCTGTATGTTTGAAGGGAAAAATATAAGAGTGCGCCTATACATTCATGCAGACAAATGTTATAAACTGTTTTAAAAAGTCAAATTATCAGGCGTCAAACCTAAATCTGCAAAATAACCGCCAAGAAGCATTCGGTGGACAATGCAAACAATACAAACTGACAATCATTGATCATTATTATATACTCTATTTGTAATTCATTATTTGTTCAATCTGATTCAAGGAGGAATGGTGTGGTATAATGAATAAAAGTAAAATATAAAGAACATGTTCAAACCTTAAGGGCATGGCCCCTCTTGGACCAAGCTGAGTGTGGATTGTCTGGATCTATTGAAAATTCCCTTACCAATTCAGGAGTGGGTTCTACCACACCAAGATTGTCCGTTTTGCCAAACCCATATAAGCATAGAAAATCCACATCGCCTTAGAACTTTTAACATCTTAAAGGTGTAAATGAGGCGAAGTAGGTGAACATCAATGTAGTTTGTCGACGACTTGGAAGCATAAAACTAATTAAGTCCCATAAAAAAGCAATTAGTTTCGTAAATATTTCGACATTTTGCGTAGTGCGTGCGGAGCTGTGCAGAAATTGGACAAAATTCCCCTGAAGTTTCTGCTTATTCTCCCCGGGAATTTTCCGACATAATGTAAATAGTGAGTGAGTGAGTTGGGTTAAACGCCGCTTTTAACAGTATTCCAGTTATATCGCGGCGTGTCAGCTTAATGTGGGAGAAAAGCCCGAAGTGATGCAGGTCTCAGACGTTTACCACTTCGGTGAAACCCACGAGCACGGGTATGGTGCTGACAAACCTAGAAACATAATTGGGGCGAACCGGGATTCGAACCCACAATCATAGGTTTCTGGCATGCCCAAGGGACGCAACTCTGCACAGCGAATCGCGGCTCCTTAGACGATTGGGCCACACATGCCCCCTATAATGTAAATAAATGACTTTGACGCTATAGTGTACGCACAATACATCTATGAATTCAGTGTAGCAACACATATTTTTACAGTGAGAACGTTAGAAAGGCGCTATATAGAAAACAAATACGCTTGTATATCATATTGATTTATGATGTGATCTGGCAGACTTGTATTGATATTTGTTTCAGGCACTGTGCTTGCAGTTTTATAGAATATAGCAAATATACATAAGTCACCCAGTGTCGGTTGTTATCTGTTACCTCACACAATTCGGGCCGATGGCAATTTTAACAAAAACTCTTTGTCAACTTATTAAACGAAGTACATACATATAGGTACAGGTGGAAATGACATCACAATATACACTGGGGCATCGGTTGAGCGTAGCGGTCAATGTGTTGACTCACACCGAAGACCTGGGTTTCATTACTGAGAATTGTACAATGTAAGAATCCCATTTCTGGCGTCCTTCTATCGGGATATGGCAAGACTATTGCGAAAGCACAATCCACCCACTATCTAATAAATACCTAGAATCCTTGTGTCCAAGTGCATGTAGATTCAGTTAGGGTTATGTAGAGGTTTTGTATTAAGGACAATACTGCACATTTAACATGGACTGTTAATATCGTCATCGTTGATTTCGTCCCTCGTGGTTTAATATGAATCTAGGCATCTTAATTCTAAATGAAGTTAAAGTACAATTTAAAGGCATACGGCCCACGATCATGCCATTTCCCTTAACTCAAAGTATACTGCAACCGCTACAGTTGCTTGTTGTGACGTGACCACAAACCTCTGATTAACTTATCTGAGCTAATCGAACTGTGTATATTGTCATAACGTAATTATTTTTTTCCAATTCTCAATTACCTCATCCCTTTGCTATGGCAATAACTCAGCATACTTGCATGGCGTTTGTATACACGTTAACGTTATGGCAGTTATTAGTTAATAATTGATAAGCAATCTAACGTGAAAGGACGGTGATCTGTGTACATCGAGTCTGGAGTGGACAAACCAGGTATGGCTTAAAATGACACACAACCTGCCAACCAGGTTACACATTATATCCACCAATGCTGGTGATGTCGCTCTTATTGCACCTGATGAGCACTCTTTACAACGGATGCTAGATAGTGTAGTCCACTGGTGTTCACAGTGGCATCCTTTTTTCAATGTTAAGAAAATTAAGGTTGTTCATTATCGTCCTACTGCCGTTAAAAGATCGGAATTTAACTTTGTTATTGATTGTGATCAGGTTGAAATAACGCACGCCTTTACATATTTGAGCGTCTGGATACATGAAAACCTCGATTTGAATTTCACCGCTGATAGAAATACCCAGCTGAATCTTTTTTTAAAATGTAAATTTAAATCAGTTGGTGGTTTTGCTTATAATGTATACAATACTTTGTATGATAATCTAGTCCAGTCTATCTTATGTTATGGATCAGCTGTCTGAAGTAGAATGGAAGTTAGCTGTATCAACGTCGTGGGGAAATGGGCTGGTAATCTTCATTTACCAAATACAGAATTTTAAAGTGACGTCTTTTGCGCAGACTTTATGCTGCTGATCATGATCATGATCTATGAAGAATGTTGAGCGCTATTTGCAGGTGGTCCGTTAATTACCGTAAGTCCCAGAATATAAAAGTGTTTGACTGGCAGCCTTCATTTACCAGTTTTTGATCTATACAATATTTCTTTTTCCGATTTTTATCCTGCTAAAGATGCTATTTTGCCTCAGATTACCATGCCTGGTTTACACGTCTTTGGAATGATAACGGCCAAGCATTGATAATGTATTACGAACCTATAGATTATTTAAAGATATATTGACTGGTGAACGTTATGTTAATTTTGTTTTAACTAAATCTCAGCGAAGCATTATGAGTATTGGCACTCCGCCATTGGAAATACGAGTAGGGAGATGTGCTCGCCCAAAGACTCCTCTTCAAGACAGTGACGTTGTGGAAGACGAAGTACATTTTCTAGCTGACTATAGCTTCTAATCAGGCCTGAGGTACGACATGTGAAAATCAGCATCCCATCATCATCATGCATATTTGTAGATATCCCCAGTCGACAAGACCCTCCTCCTGGTCTACGATTGGTCTGTTAATCCACTAGCCGCACTACTTACCCAAATGTTTCAGAGAAGAAAACAAAAGCTTTCGCTGTGTCCCACCTTATTCTAAAGAACCACGGGAATCTTTGTTTTAATATGTATATGTATCTTCTTATTTTACATATACTGAGTGAGTGAGTGAGTGAGTGAGTGAGTGAGTGAGTGGATCTACTCGTGCTCTGTTTCATATTTAGTGACTTTATTTCCACATCGAACTGCGGCGCCTTAGACGACTGGGCCACCTTGGTGTTATCCTCTTGATCTTGCTTGAAATATGCTAAAACCTGGTTGGTCGATATTCAAGTGTTCTTTTTCGTACCCGTCTCGTGATACTTGAATAACAATCGATGCAAAGTCAATAATCAACAAAGAGAGATTGATATTAATTGTCGCCTCATTGGATTAGACGACCGGTCCCTTTGTGCTAATGACGTGAAGAAAGAGTTCCTGGATACCATTGAAGTCTGGAGCTAACGGAATTCAGGAAGTTTACAGTTAAAAAAAGGACGCAAAATACTTACAGTTGTAGACTATAGATAGTTGCACTCACTAAAATGCAGATAAGTATATAAAGGGGTTGTGGTCTGTACTAAGAAGACTTTTACGGAGCCTTTGGACTACATGGTAGGTACTTGGAAACTTGTATCACATAACGCCTATATAATAATGATTGTATACGAACCTCCTCTAAAGATGTGCGCGCTGCTTTACAATTATTATTATAAGGAATTTGAATTATGGGAAAAAGTAATCATAATGTTTTAGGTTGTTGTTTTAATAGCATGGTCTTATGTAATAATTAGTTTGATAATTGGTCTCATTGCTGGTTATGTCGTAGATTATCAATATTAATAATAACCGTATTTGTATGTATGTAAAAAGATTGACTTGTAAGCGCCACTCTCTACATGAGCATATTGACGTTGATATATGTTTAACAATTTGATTTGTTAGTCAAAACTAGCTTTCACCACTGATAACGTCCATGTTGATGACAAAAACATATAGAAAACCATATGACTGTTATTTGATGGGTTATGGACTGATCACTTCGTATTCCCGAATTCGGAAAACTTGACATTCGACAAGGTGACATGAATATCATATAACAGCTCGTTGATTTTTTTCTGCAACTCCTTATAAGGAGGGTTGGTGTGAAATTAAAGTGTATACTTTGTTGTTAAACGCCGCACACATTGATATGACGGTGAGATATAGATAATCGAATCTTGACAAGGCAATGCATGGCCAGTGACTGATACTGTGAGCGTCGTCCCACGTCTTAGGGGCAGGATACAAGCAATCAACCAAGCCACCGATGTCGCCTCTAACGACACATATAGGTTTCGGGAGATCTCATCTAACCCGGAATCCCTACGGAATATGTAGTCATACATTGTCAGGTCTCACAGCTGTTGGAACGTATGTAGGGATAGAACATAACCGATAAAATATGTAGGAACGATTTTAAAAGCTTTATTTTTGCCAGATTGTCGTGTGATATCCATGTGTAATTGATGTCAGTATATCTAAGATTGAATGTCACCCGCAAATCTAAAGCATATAATGTTGATCTCTCAACTAAATATATTTTATTTGCACATACAGTAAACTTTAACGTCTCTTTATCTTGCAAACTGGAAAAGGGACGCTCATATCGTCCATCGGAATCAATGACGATAACACAAATCACAACAAACAACACCGGAAAGATTACACAATGTGAGTGCGAAGTGAGTAAGTTGGGTTTAACTCCGCTTTTAACAGTATGCCAGTTATACCACGGGGTGTCAGCTTAATGTGGGAGGAAAGCCCGAAGTGATGCAGGTCTTAGACGTTTACAACTTCGGTGAAACCCACGAGCACGGGTATGGTGCTGACAAACCTAGAAACATAATTGGGGCGAACTGGGATTCCAACAATCATAGGTTTCAGGCGAGCCCAAGGGACGCAACTCTGCACAGCGAATCGCGAGCCTTAGACGACAGGACCACCCGTGCCCCCACATTATGAAGAAATTGCATAGATTCTTAAGGTATCATGTCCACACTCCAGGTGACATTGCAGCGGGAGGATCATACGGAATAAAGATGGTGTCAAAGACGTGGCTGTGGCTCCTCTACACCTTCACCCTCCACGTCGTCTGTAAGTATGAACACTCAACTCAACAAGTACATACATAGAAGGGGATAAGTAGTGATGTGTTCGCTCTCTTGTTATATCCTTCTGTTTTCTGTTTGATGCAGCACATACCAAAATCTACACAGACTAGAAAACATCGTGAAGTCTGTCTCTGAATTCGAGTGAACATGTACATGTGCTTAATCATATTATCATAAAAATAAATTACGCATATTATTAAAAACGATTGCGTTTTAAGATTATATGTGATGTTATTTATTCTTCCACAATACAGACATCGTCGGGACTGAAATGCCTATAAAGGTTGTATGTTATAAGAAGCAGCTCATCACCGATCCACAATGTGATGCCACTCATGAAAAGATGTATCCGAAAACGTTCACAATCGGACGCCTTCAAAACCATACGTGTTCCCTTAATATTCATTCGCAAGGACAAGATGAATACAAACAATGTTGTCACATGAAGGATGGAGACACAGGTGAGACGTATCATCTTCCAGCTGAAGCATACAAGATTTCTCCATATAACAACATATACAGGGAGTTTGTGACACAATGCATAGGACAAGCTAAGTGTCAGTTAGGCAATCCTGGCGTTGTACACGACACGAATCTACAAGACGGTGACTCAGCGGATTACGTTGCTTTTGAATATGAGTGTGTAGAGGGTAAGTACAGTTACCTAGATTCTTGCATTCAGGAGTATACTCATGATCAGTTCATGATTAAAATCATAATCAGTGTGCGCTTTGTGGCACCAACCTAATCCCTTGCCGAGACAAGTTCTACAGGCTACAAGGCAAGGAAACGACCAGCCTTGCTGTCCGCTGCAGTAGGTGAAGGAAAGTGGACACATATTTTAATGTTTAGTGTTTCTTTTGCCATTACCGATCTCGGTGTGAACAATAGTTACATAACAAAGTACGTATGACATGTCAGCATTGATATCTAGTTGATACCTCACGACCGTGTTCATGTGTTTGATTACTTCTCACTGATTGTTACGTTCTCGCGGCTGTTTCTTGCAGATCCTGACACCGCACACGAGAGTGCTCGTCCAAAGACTTACTTTTACTTCATGTGCGTTAATACATATGACCGTCATAAAATTGAGTCCATATGAATTTCAGTGTTCTAGCCATGACAGCTGTCCCGTGTCCGCTTGAAAATTCAATATCGTGTGATCTATAATGATCGGGTTTCAGACACCAAGTTACACATGTATATTTAAGACCTAAAAAGAACTCATCAAAGACCAGAGATGAGATCAAGTTTTTATTGAAGATGTTATCTAAGTGAGGATATCTAAGCAGTACATAATTACAAAGATGTCAATGATCAATTATTTCTTTATTGCGAACTAATATCCCACCTATGGAACAGCGGACTGTGGAAATTGAATTGTATGTCAAGCACATGGTTAAAAGCCGCAGCTAGCTAAGACTTTCATCATCATTGACATTGTCATAGTACAATGATTCGCTTATTTCTGATGTCCAGAATTCCTTTTCAAATCCCCTTTCACGTGACCTATGCCAGAGTATCAGTGAGACAATAGGTTTTAATTAAACAGCGTGGACTAAACGCATGGTAATATATAAAACTGTAAAAATGAGTTATGTATCATTTTCAGAGAACCAAATTTTGCATTTCACGGGGGATTCCACTCTAAACGACTCACAGATTTTCTTACTCCACGACCAAGCAGCTCAATCAGTTAAAAACTCTTACTGTGTTGCTTACACATGTCAGTCAAGTATCACAGTTACCCTTGTTGGGAACACTGTGAGCACATCTTCTTGCAACCTCGTCATGTCTGAGGAAGGCCGCACTTCCATCACTTTCAACTGTCAAGACAACACTACCAGCAACACATTATTTCAGAGCGAAAGCAACAAGATAGGAATCTCCCTGAACATGACTGCAAACTTTGTGACAAGTGCTTCAGAAATGTTGTGGATTCGTGTGAAAGGTAATTTCCTCTTTCGTCATGTCATCGGGAGTAACAACTGGTCTTAGTCTGAATTATGAACTGTTTGCATAAACTCTGAATGTATCATTACGTGCTTAACAATAGTATGCTATGTTCTGTTCTGGGTGTGTAATTGTTCACATGATAGGATTTCACATTTTCATGTTGATAGGTGGTGTGAGCGATCGTGATAACTTGAAATACGTCAGTGTTACAAGAAACACATGTGCAGAACATACAAAAGTATCTACCTGTACCCTATTTCAGTATTAATTTCGAACATTGACTAAAACTTACATACATGTATTTATCTTGATAATTATATCAAGTGGGATAGAGAACTCTTAACATAAGGCTGAGTCGAAGCACATGTATTTTTGTCATTTATCAGCTTCTAATGGAGGACTTGTGACTGTGGCATGTGGACTCAAAGTTCCAACAACCGTTACACAACATTGTCCTAAGATTACGACGACAACCCCTTCTGTCCCATCCGTAAGGCCAACTATCCCAGATACATCAGACATGCCAACTGTCCCAGATACACCAGACATGCCAACTATCAGCGCAATACAAGTGAGAACCGAAACAGTGACAACGACCAAATCAACAACAGTTGGGGCAACAGCGGGAACAGCGGCAGCAGCAGCAACGACAACACCGGCTGTTATATGTAAATAGGATCTATCATACATCTACCTATCTGCTAAAGATCTGATACCTTTAGTATATGAGTAATTAAGGGATACAAGATTTAACGCCAGAATAGATCACGGCGTCTGTTTATAACTTGGATGAAATAAACGTGCATGAGTACTGTGCTCACTACAAATTAACTAAGTCTACCATATACAATGAGGATAATTCTTGGAATGGAATCTCAACGTATGAGATAAACAGCATTACTAGTTTACCTGATAATAACATGGTTACTGTTACATCATCACGATTAACTTTCTAAATGAAATATGTGAACTAAAAATGAGTATTAAGTAAAACAGTGACGGGTAGAAAGCGATAGTCTTGTTTCAGTTTTCCTATGGATAACATATGTTTTCAGCAATCGTCGGAACATTTATCGGAGGACTGGCTGCAGGGATTTGTCTATCCGCTCTTACCTTTGTCATACACAAGAAGTGCAAAACAAAGGTGATCTCTAGCTCAAGACATATCGTGTATTTCTACAACATTAAGATCAAGTGATGTACAACTGAGGAAAGGCTCAGTTCATCTCGTCTTACAGTAAAATTGTTGCATATGAAATGCGAATTGTAGACATGTTCTCACTAGAAATGTTACTATCCTTCAGTATTATCAATGTATATGTATCGTAGTAGCGACGTGTATGTGGATTTCGCTGTGTTTCAGAACAGAGTTGGTGATCAGCGTGCCGAAGATATAAACGTGGACGTGGCCGTTAATACCTTGCCGGTTGGTTTCATATACACAAACATATTGGTGACGTATACGCAGAATATCACTCTCATTCTGGTTAGATACCATAGGAAGTTCACGAGTTTCGCAAAAATGGTGTCGAACGAGAATGAGTGTGGTATTTTATTTATCACCCACGTTAAATATGTATTCAAGTGCACATACGTTACAGCTTTCTTTCGTTAACAGACCAAACTGAAACCGGTCGCAAATAGGGGCATTGTTAACATTTCTATGCATACGCAGTAACAACATGTTCCTGTTGTTGTGTATGCAAACATGACATCAACGAGACTCAAGATACGTTTTAAAGATTTCTGTAACTTATTGTAGATCTAATTCAAACGCATTGTTGTTAGTACACAAGACAGCTGTAAGAAAACTTAAAAGGTTATATAGCGTCGTGCTTTAAATCTCGGACCAACACGCAGTCCTTATCACCGACGAGTCCCGGCTGTGTATTGGACATTGTTCGGTTTCCTGGATATATCAGCTGAATTTATATCCCGTCCGTATCATTTTGGAAGAGGGAAATCGGAGTGCTCGCCAAAGACGTTTATGTGAACTGTACGACCCTATACTGAAGACGTGAAAATCAACAAACTCAAGTCTGCTTACATGTCAGTGACAGCTTCGAACGAAGGGCTATTTTGCAAAGTCACCATCAGAATAAGAAAAGACAACCGTGATCTACCCACAGCGTTTTACTCAAGAGATAAATATGGAATGTTATTGTTCACTTTTGAGATGTTTTAGGCCACAGAACAGAAGTCGGGCACATTTCGAGTTCTCGAATGATTGGTATCGGAACTGTTCACTTTGAGTGATCGCGCAGTCGTGTATGTTCATTCATGAATAAACACCTTCGGAAGCAATGTAACAAAACACGCTTCGAATGGGGACACTGCTATTAGAAACCGGATTTACGTGTGTTTGGATGGCAGCATATCAAATTTTATACAATGTTTTAAGCAAAGATGTAAAGACAAAGAGATTCAGAATTGGCTGCTAAAATTATTTCTTCATCATTTCTAAACATATCTATTCTACATATAAGTCTGTACTCGAACCAGAGAAATATATTATGGAGTTATGTCCAAACAAGGATCTTATCCGCATATCATTTAAATTCCGATGTTTGAGCCATAAGTTGGGTGGGTATTCAACACTTTCGTTACAATGACGAAGTCAATACTGATTTACTTAAGTGCAAGAAATGTAATCATAATATAAATGAAGATGAATACCATTTCCTTTTAGTTTGTCCATTTTATATGGAAAACAGAAAGCTCTACATCCCAACCTACTATTACCAGTATCCATCACGAGCAAAATTTAATTAACTAGTAGCAACAAAAATGTTAAGCTAATTAAAAATGTTGCTATATGTTTGAAAAGAAATCTGCCTGTATAATGCATCATAGATATTGTATTGAGATAGTATAACAGTTGTCCCACCTGTCCATGTGCAAAGATTTATCTCATGTATTGTACTCATGCTGCCTTTGGTACCGAATACATTTCTTCTTCTTCTTCTTCTTCTTCTTCTTCTTCTACAAATGACCCAACCGGAGCATCCAACGTAAGTCTAGATATCTGTCCGGATAATTTAAACTAACTGCATTTCACCACGCTTAACATTTTACGTTTAATCAAATAAAAGGTCGCGGAAGTGGTCAGATGCGTCACGCTCAGGAACCCTCGACCTATCGGTAATCGTACATTGCATATGGATATAGCTGATATAGAATGAAAGGCGAACTTGATGCATGTGACGATCTTGTTTGGTTTAATAAAGTATGTGTAAATGTCTTTCATGAGATTCCTTCAGTTCTGCTTTCTTGATGTAAAAGTGAAGGACTTCTCGTATTGTTTTAAATTCAAAACATAGTTCCTGTGTGACAGAGGTAACGGCTATCCAAACAAAACGAATAAAACGAGGTCAACCTTGTACGACACACATGTGACGTACGAATTCAGAATCTTACAACCTGTATCTTCACCATGTGGGTAATAAGATCGCAAGATAAATATGAGTATTTCAATAATGATATTCATAACTTTAAGAACGAACAACATTTAGTCAACAAGGATAATTATAACATGAAGGTATTCATTACTATTATCAACTACATGTATGTCCCATGGTCATTTCAGAATACACTTGGTCATCCACCTGCCTGGGCTGGTTCTGTCGAAGGAGCAAGTGTGCCTCATTATTCTCAGCTGGATAGCAAGATGCCCCTGCCCGCGCCATTCGGTGCTGCGTCACATCAAACTCCGCATTCAGCTAACTCATTACCTCCTATCAGACACATATAAAGTATTGCCATATAAGTATATATGTGTTGCCGTTAGCATTGTTAGGGCGGATTTATTCTAACAGCTACAACGGGATAGAATAGGTCCGGGCGGTTTCATTCTCACGAATGTTCGTTTTTTTCCCGTGTGAAATAATGAAATTTTCCTGAAACGTTGCTTTGTCTGAAAAATCATGATAAGAGGATCTTTTGGTATGCCAGGATAAGATTTGTGATGTGACAAATAACTCGGTATAAGTATCGGTATAAGGTTCCCCCACTGGCGCTTACCATTGTAAAGAAAGGGGTAGCGGGTGATCCACGACAAGTAGTACGATGGATATGTGCTTGTCCTGTCTCGACTAACACTGAGTTCTAGTGGCGAGCTCAATAGCACATATTGGTACGTGGATATGTCAGGTACCAGATCTACAGCAAATTAGATCAAAACAATGTAGAAGTATCGTGACAATGACACTTCTCTTCGTATTCTGATGCAGTTTCTGTATCTGGCAAACAGTGCACTTGTCGAAATCGCCAAGTTTGGATTTGATCACTTGAGATTAATTTGTACATTGTTTTTTTTCATGCAATTTATGACAGTATTGTCCGATTTTCTCAAGCCTGAGAATGTATGATTTTGCCATGCTTAGCAAGCTTTGACAAGTGTATTTGTTTGTAATGAACTACTATCAAACGACGCTTAGAGAATTCTCGTATCGACTTGTCACACCGACCTCTTAATAGTCTTATGAGCAACACATGTGTCAACGGGGGCGTAGTCAATTTCATGGCCAAAGCGTGCGTGTACGCCCTTTCTATCTATAAATATGTTTGCCCACATTGTGTGCACCCCCTTCTTGTCTCAAACGAGTATGGTGATTTCCAGTAGTTCAAATTTGAAGGAAAAACTAAATACACAGCTGATTATGTGGAGTTCATGATATATAGAGTACTTCTTTTTGACACAAGTCGTATGTAATTCTGACGACAATAAATATAAACATGACATATACATATATGTTATAACTCTAGTTGTTTTTAAACATATTTACGTCGAGTTCGTAACGCAGTATTACCAAAGTCACGCCCACAGTTGAAGTTATACTTGGACAGGCACATTAGGAGCTCCATTCTGGAACTGCGAAATACAAAATGCATACAGTATGAAGATTAGTATTACTTGTAATTGATAATCCGACCGTTTAACATCCAGTAAATTTTAAAAAAAACCCATTCCGTCACACATTTTCCCTTCACAACTTGTTGCTATTTACATGTTTTGTGTGTTTTCATAACCTAACCAATATGCAAGTCTTTTTGTTCATTAACAGCCTGGCCAATAGATTATTTATTCGTTAATAGTAAATGTTGTGATTGTCGTCTGACCTCTAGTAGATAGGAGTATGGACAAGGCCCATATATGGATGCACAAATGTAGAGTACGACTATGACAGGGGGAAGAGTGTCGTTACGTTTCACACAAGTGTAGACTAGGACTGTCCAACATGCTTCGATAAAAGATCAAAGGCGCCGACTGTAATTTTTCCAGCGATAAAGTACACTTTTTAAATTACGTCATAAGGGGCTAACGTGATGACGCTGCTAAAATTACCTCCTCCATGATCTAACATATCCTTGGTAACCATCGTTCTTTCATTGCATCTTTAAAGTTAGTTATAAAGTTTGCTCTACTCCCATGTGTAGTGTAATAAAGTATAGTTTTGCCCCCAACTATTGTAGCATCAGAGTACTCCGACTCAATCGTACTCGTGCTTTAACTATAATAGCTCAGGACAAAACTATGTTCATACATGTATACAGAAATATAAGGACCGTGATAGGGTTGTTGAATATGTGTGATAGGGATGTTGATTATGTACAGTGTTATGTGTGCTCATATATGTTTAAATATGTGGTGTATAGTTTTATATGTTGATCAGTATGTTATCTGAACTTAGACTTGACTTGAAGTGAGGGGGTTTTAGGTGAGTGAACAGCTTGTTATGTAATCAAGTGTACAGCTTGTGAACTGAGTGATTAAAGTGAGTAACTTTTGGAATGAAAGGGTTTAGATTATCGGCACAGGATATAAACATTTGAGTTTTTTTGGTAAAAATTCAGTGACGTTCGTGATTTGAAATAGCCTCGTTTGTTCCTCAAGTTTTACCGAGAATGATATCTCTGTTACCTGTTTGCGTATGTAGCCGGGTGGTTGTGCTAACTCTGAATGAACCACAAAAGTACCACCCTCTCACCTCTCATAATCCCCTCTTATTCATTATATAAATATAATGCTTTCATCTATTATCACCATCACTTCATGCTGTGTTCATTATCTGTTGTCCTTGTCTGCAGTTGATGTCAACCAAATAACATCAACATTGATGCCCTTTTGCAGCCTCTGTGATTTCTCCAGTTTCACCTTGACTTCCCCTATCTATTTTCATATATGTCCACCACTTCATGCCACTGTTAAGCATCTTGACTTCCTTTAATACCTGTCAGATGCTACCTTTCTTCTGATTGGCCCGTTGATCCACTTCTTTAAACTTTCTTTCTCACCTGCCCTCCTCGTGCATTATGCATGAACTCTTCATGGAGGGAGGACTCTTCTTTCCAGGTGAGAAACATTTCAATATTCTTATCTTTTTCCATCCTGCTCTGGAAAGAAATATATTCATAGAAAGGGTATCACAGCTTTTCATTAAAGTAATTACATTATTATTTAATTAATTATATCTAAATATTTGCCAGTTAACACATTTCTGTTACATTTATTGAGCACATGGTCTTCAACATGTACTTCAACCATGTGCTGCAACCATGTGCTACCCCACTTACCCATATGAATTATAGTCTTTTTTCCTTTCGGCTTAAAATAAATTATACAATTTTGCATGAACCCTTTTTGGAGTGAGGATTCTTCTTTCCAGCTTCCCTCCTATCATTTGATAATGTGAATAAACATCCTCATCCTCATGTTATAACCAGCAGCCCAGTGGCAGGACACAACATACCACACTCGGCTACACGTTTTTGCACTCATGTCGGGTCTGAGACAACTGAGATCCTATCGATTATCGTCAAATGTCATATTGCTTTGTCGTCATTATTGCTAGGGTGCCCTTAATTGTTTTAAATGTAAATCAGTATTGTTTGTGATGAAATATTATAAGTGTGTTATAAATAAATTCTTCTTTAATGTAGTAACATTTTTGCTTAATCCTTATCATTGTGCGAGTGGATTTAGGGTATACATAATGTATACACAAATGTAGCCAAGGACTGTTACAGGGGTGCCGAGTATGTTCCTGTATGTATACACAAATGTAGTCAAGGACTGCGACACGGGTATGGAGTATGTTCCTACATGTATACACAAATGTAGCAGAGGACTGTGACAGGGTTGTGGAGTATGTTCTTAATGTATATACAGATGTAGACAAGAACTGCGACACGGGTGTCGAGTATGTTCCAGCATGTATACACAAATGTAACCACGGACTCTGAAATGGGCGTGGAGTATGTTTCTTAATGTATATACAGATGTAGCCAAGAACTGTGGCAAGGATGGCGAGTATGTTCTTACATGTATACACACATGTAGCAGAGGACTGTGGAAGGGGCGTTGAGTATGTTTCTGCATGTATACACAAATGTAGTCAAGGACTGTGACACGGGTGTGAAGTGTCTTCCTGGATGTATACACAAATGTAGTCAAGGACTGTGACACGGGTGTGGAGTATGTTCTTACATGTATACACAAATGTAGTCAAGGACTTTCACACGGGTGTGGAGTATGTTCTTACATGTATACACAAATGTAGTCAAGGACTTTCACACGGGTGTGGAGTATGTTCTTACATGTATACACAAATGTAGTCAAGGACTTTCACACGGGTGTGGAGTATGTTCCTCTATGTATACACAAATGTAGTCAAGGACTTTCACACGGGTGTGGAGTATGTTCTTACATGTATACACAAATGTAGTCAAGGACTTTCACACGGGTGTGGAGTATGTCCCTCTATGTATACACAAATGTAGTCAAGGACTTTCACACGGGTGTGGAGTATGTTCTTACATGTATACACAAATGTAGTCAAGGACTTTCACACGGGTGTGGAGTATGTTCCTCTATGTATACACAAATGTAGTCAAGGACTGTGACACGGGTGTGGAGTATGTTCCTCTATGTATACACAAATGTAGTCAAGGACTGTGACACGGGTGTGGAGTATGTTCTTACATGTATACACAAATGTAGTCAAGGACTTTCACACGGGTGTGGAGTATGTCCCTCTATGTATACACAAATGTAGTCAAGGACTTTCACACGGGTGTGGAGTATGTTCCTCTATGTATACACAAATGTAGTCAAGGACTTTCACACGGGTGTGGAGTATGTTCCTCTATGTATACACAAATGTAGTCAAGGACTTTCACACGGGTGTGGAGTATGTTCCTCTATGTATACACAAATGCAGTCAAGGACTGACACGGGTGTGGAGTATGTTCCTCTATGTATACACAAATGTAGTCAAGGACTGTGACACGGGTGTGGAGTATCTTCCTGGATGTATACACAAAAGTAGTCAAGGACTGTGACACGGGTGTGGAGTATCTTCCTGGATGTGTACACAAATGTAGCCACGGACTGTGAAAGGGGCGTGGAGTATGTTCCTGTATGTATACACAAATTTAGTCAGGGACTGCGACATGGGTGTGGAGTATGTTCCTGCATGTATACACAAATGTAGTCAAGGACTGTGACACTGGTGTGGAGTATGTTCCTCTTTGTATACACAAATGTAGTCAAAGACTGTGACACGGGTGTGGAGCATGTTCCTCTATGTATACACAAATTTAGTCAAGGACTTTGACAGGGGCGTGGAGTATGTTCCTCTATGTATACACAAATGTAGCCAAGGACTGTGACACGGTGTCGAGTATCTTCCTGAATGTATACACAAATGTCACCACGAACTTTGACAGGGTGTGGAGTATGTTCCTCTATGTATACACAAATGTAGTCAAGGACTGCGGCACGGGTGTCGAGTATGTTCCTTAATGTGTATACAGATGTAGTCAAGGACTGTGACACGGGCGTTGAGTATGTTTCTGTATGTATACACAAATGTAGTCAAGGACTGCGACACGGGTATAGGGTATGCTCCTGCATGTATACACAAATGTAGCAGAAGACTGTGACACGGGTGTCGAGTATCTTCCTACATGTATACACAAAAGTAGTCAAGGACTGTGACAGGGCTGTGGAGTATGTTCCTGTATGATGTTTACACAAATGTAGTCATGGACTGTGACTCGGGTGTGGAGTATGTTCCTGAATGTATACACAAATGTAGCCAAGGACTGTGACAGGGGTATGGGGTATGTTCCTATATATATACACAAATGTAGCCACGGACTGTGACTAGGTTGTGGAGAATGTTCCTATATATACACAAATGTAGCCAAGTACTGTGACAGGGGTGTGGAGTATGTTCCTATATATACACAAATGTAGCCAAGTACTGTGACAGGGGTGTGGA